GATCAATGGCTAGGATCTGATGGGTTTTGGGTCGGGTAGGATGTGATTGGGGCCTGGGTCGGGTAATTCAATTAGGAATTGGGCTGGGGTTGGGTTAAAATTGAGGCTAAAATTGAAAATGCAATCTGGCTAGGTTTTAAATAGCCAATTTAACCCTATATAATTTATAATAAATAATAAATGATTTCTAAATATAATTTTGTGTACCAAAATGATTTAAAAATAGATATTTAACATTTTAAAATATAGAAGATCATTTTATGCATATAAAACGTAATTGTACATTAATAAGACTAAACTTGCAATTATATGCAAATTAGCTTTAAAAATGTAAAATGCAATTATAAAAATGCACTAAAATATTTTAACAATATTTTGGCATAAATATATAATTTAGATGACTGAATTACCACAACAATAATTTGAGGGATAATTATTGGAGATTTTATGAGAAAAAAGGGAAGGAAATAAATCTACTTAAAATCTTTAAAAATATATAAAAATTATAAAAACCTTGTGCATGCTTATATATGCATATATATGCTATTTTGAAAGTATTTATGCATAATAAAATATATAGAAAAAAATTGGGTATCAACACTCGGGACCTTTACCAAATATACCAACACGTCTTAAACTACAATAGGAACTTATTCACAGCCTCAAACGTCAAACAACGTCAAAATTACGAATTGCGCCGCGAATCGAATTATGAGTTTATGAATTTTCCAAATTCTATAATTTGCATCGAAACGTATCAAATCAATCCGGAATGACTTCATATTTTGCACACGGGTCATAAATGACATAATGGAGTTGTTCCAATTTCTGGAAATCAAAATCTGACCCCGTTGTCAATAAAGTCAAATTCCCAGCAAAACATCCAAACCTTCAATTTCTTATTTTTGTCATTTCAAGCCAAATTCCACTACGGACTTCAATAGAAATATTAAGACACACTCATAAGTCCGAAGTCATCGTATAGAGCTAGTGGAACCATCAAAATTCTATTCTGGAGTCGTTTGCACAAAAGTCAAACTCCGGTCAACTCTTTTCATTTAAGCTTCTAAACAAAGATTGTTCTTTCAATTTAATCCCGAATCATCCTAAAACCAACACTGATGATTACACAAGTCATAATACATATTAAGATGATGCTCGAGACCTTAAGCCACCGCATGGAACGCTAATTCTCAAAACGATAAGTCGGTTCGTTACACACACACACACTCTCTTTCTCTCTCTCTCTCTCTCTCTCTCTCTCTCTCTTCGTTGCCTCACTCTATCTGCCACTCCCTCTCTCTCTTTGTTACTTTACGCCACATCTGTTTGCCTCGCCGCTATTCTTTTCTCTGTTGCCTTGCCAGTCGCTGGCGTTTCTTCTGCCATGGCTTCCTAGGTAAGTTCCTTTCTCTATCTAATGTTTTTAGAATTTTCTTAGTATTTTATTAATGAATGTTGATATTAATTTAGGTTAGTGACTCTTGTTTGTTACTTATTGATTCTTGATTTTGTAGACTTTATACCTTTTTGAGGCGCGCATACACAAGGGGAATTCCTTTCTTGTCCAATACAAAATTTAATATAAGAAAATACTTTCCAGAAAAAACAAAAAAAAAAAACAATTTATTTTTCTGGCTTAACACCTCTCATTCTTATTACTTTTTCAATATGAAAACGAAAAAAAATAAAAAATCAAAAGGTCGTTTTATTCAAAACCCCAATTGTGACATCTCTTCTCTCCCACTTCACACCTCGGAATGCACCCTTCTTATAGAGATAAACGCGCTTTCACAAGGCCGAAAGGCGTAATCGATGGACAACAGATGAATATTCCTGTACTGCCCCTTGTTGGTCCCGAGGGACGGAGGAGGCTAGGTTAGCCGAAAGATGGTTATTGGTTCAAGAACGTAAGGTGTCCCTGCTTTGTCAGGGTAAGAAGGGGTAGAGAAAATTCCTCGAGCCAATGTTCGAATACCAGGCGCTACGACGCTGAAGTAACCCATGCCATACTCCCGGGAAAAGCTCGAACGACTTTGAGCAAGAGGGTACCTGTACCCGAAACCGACACAGGTGTTCTTGTTATTACTTCGACTCATATTCCCCCAAAAGTGGATCCCGCTCTAATAGCTCCGAATAAATTAAATATGTGCATTAAGATACGAAGGCTTCTTCTTCCACAACAACGAAAGCACTTTTTCACTCTTTCATATACTAGGGGATTTCACTTGGAAAAGAAAATGTTCCATACTAACGGATTCGGGTCCATAACCATGGGTTCCAATGCACGAGATCTTGTAGCACTTACCAATGAGGTCCTATCGATTAGTATTACACAGAAGTAATGAATTATAGACACTAATACGATTAGATCAGCTCTTCATAGACAAACTTGGGATTTGCGATCCCAGGTAAGATCGGTTCAGGATCATGGGATCCTTTTCTATCAGATAGGAAGGGCTGTAGCACAAAATGTACTTCTAAGTGATTGCCCCATAGATCCTATATCTATCTATATGAAGAAGAAATCATGTAACGAAGGGGATTCTTATTTGTACAAATGGTACTTCGAGCTTGGAACGAGCATGAGTATTGCTTATTAAGTAATATGATATTTATAATCCATCGTTTTATTTGGTTCTCTTTGGGATGATAAATGACCTACTTAACTCAGTGGTTAGAGTACTGCTTTCATACGGCGGGAGTCATTGGTTCAAGTCCAATAGTAGGTAAAACTTATTAGATACCAGAGTCAATGGTATCTAATAAGGTTTACGACCCACCCTTAGTGATATTGATTTTTTGATTTTGTATCTTTTCTATTTCATTTTTGAATTTGAATTTTTGCATCAGAATTGGATTCTGTTTGATTGTATTTGATTGTATTCACCCGACAGAATCTAAATAGGATTAGAAAGACAACTTCTTTTTATTATTCGAACGTACCAACTTTTGTAGTGTAAATTATTGAGTATTCTAGTGCATCTGCTTAAAAAAACTTATGAAAAATAAATGCTACTTTTTTAAAATTGAGATACTTCTTACTCGATCATGGAGGCTAAAAGCTTCTTTATTAGGTATTTGTTGTTCTTATTGCATCTGTGATGTTATTGAGAATGACTCTTAAGGTTTTGGCACCATCAAATTCCCTGTTATTGCACCAAATGGTGTTGTTTACCGAAGTTGCATATCTCATTCTTGGGATCAATGATTGATGAACTTGAAGATGATGTCTCTGCTTTCTTGAGTTCTTGAAGTCTTTGGTGAATTACATGAACATTAGATTGAGCACTTAAGTTGAGCAAGCCAATAGCTTTATTTGGGAACGACGAAACAAAGTTATTTGAAGAAAACCATTTGAACTTTTGTAATTTGTTTAATGTATTCAAATTAGCGCTCAGATGTGGTAAATTAAGGTAAGCATTAGGACTATATATTCTCCTAGTTGCTTCATCATAAGCCATAGGCTCAATACCATTATAATTGTTTTGGAAAAGTAGGTATTACCTTCACTGAGCAAACTAAAGAAAATTGGTCTAAACTAAAGAAAATTGAGGTGACATTAGACTAATGAAAACTAAGATGATACTAAACTAAAGAAAGTTGAGTCTTGGAACAATGTTTACTTTTAGTTGAACCTTCTTTAGAATTTGTAATTTTATAATTTATGTTTGAGCTACCCTTCTTTAAGCTTAGGTCGATACAACATTCATATAATATTTTTTCTAACTACATTCCTACTTTGTAATTCAATCTCAATTCACTGAAGAGGTATTTTACCAAAGCGCCAAAACCAAATTTGGCTTCTGATACTCAACCTATCCATGAAGAGATCAATCATTTAAAAGTACTATCTTCTGATGAATTTGATTTGAATTCTTTAAAGTTTGACCTAGGGGAAACAACTCAAATCTTGTACTTCCATCCAAATCATCATAATATTATTAGAAGAGAATACCTTTGACAAAGTCCTTGGTAACCTCGGCTTCGTAACTTTCCTAAAATAATTTTTCTGGATCAATGCGTCGATTGAATCCTAAATGGTTTGATGATGAATATCATGATTGGTTGGAGTAAAGTGTAAGTAAAGATGCAACATATTATGTATATTATTATCTATTTAAAGATAATAATATTTATCAAGGTGGAGGTGATATATTTTCAAGTATACGGTTTAAGAGTTAGTATAAAAAGAAAAAATTTGATAAACATATTGGTAGGTCGGGTAGCATCACAATCAGACAAAAAATGTCAAGATTTGCGGCAACAACGGTCTATTCAACCTTCATTTGAGAGGCAATCCAATTAACTTAAGCATAAGTATTGGGTCATATTAACTACTTCAGTTGATGTAGTAAGACTATTTATAACTCAAAGATTAGCATTTCGAAGTCATGATGAATCAAAGTCATCACTTAGTAGGGGTAATTTTCTTCAAACCCTCTCATGGTATGCCAAAGTGTGTGATAACGTTCGTGATTATGTACTAGAACATGCTCTTCAAAATGATTAAATGACTTCTCCAATGATTCAGAAAGATATTGTTACTGCATGTTAGATAGAAACAATTAAAGCTATTATTGAGGAAGTAAATGATGATTACATTACCTTGCTAGTTGATGAATCTTTTGATACGTCACGCGAGGAGCAACTGGCTAGTGTCTTATGGAATGTTGATAGAATGAGATTTTTGATGGAGCGATTTATTGATGTTGTTCGTGTTCAAAATACTAGTGCTTCATCTCTGAAGAGTGCAATTGTTAATTTACTTGCTCAATACTCCTTAAATCTCTCATATGTGTGTGGATAATGTTACAATAGGGCAAGCAATATGCAAGGTGAAATTAATGATCTTAAAATATTGATTAAGTGAGAAGGTAGATTGGCTCATCCCATTCATTGTTTTTGCTTAACAACTTTAACTTACCCTTGTTGCGGTTTCTATGAAATGTTTTCAAGTAAGAGAACTTGTAGTATTGGTTTCAAATATTTTGAATATAATGGGATCTTCTTTTAAGTGTATGGATGAATTTCGAGATTTTCAAAAAGAAAGTATTCAAGAGGCATTTGATATGGGTGATCTTACAACTGGTAGGGGCTTGAATCAAGAACTTGATCTTTCAAGAGCATGTGATACTCTTTGGGGATCTCACCTTAAATCTTTTAATAATATTATTCTGATGTTTGGATCTATTCTTGATGTTCTTGAGTCGCTTGTTCTTGATGCACATTCTACAAATGAAAGAGCCAAGGCAATGGAATATTTCAGGGCTTGTCAAACATTTGAGGTTGCATTTGATGAGAGATATTTTGCAATCACAAATGAGATCAATAAATGCATACAAAAAAAGAGCAAGACACTGGAAATGTCATGCTACTTGTTGAAGTATGTAGCAAAGAAGATGTTGCAAAAGTAAAGGGAAGAGGAATAGGTATCTCTTATTGCTAAGATATCTACATTTTGTATCAAATATGATATTTGGATACCTCACTTTGATGAGCCATATGTTAGTTCTTTAAGATCACGTCGTAAACCTGTCATTTTACAATCTCATGTCATTATCGGGAAATTTTTTTAAATTAGTGATTGGAAATTTAAGAACTTAATGAATGTTTTGATGAAGTGAGGGATTATTTGGTTCATGGAATTGCTTGTTTGAATCTACTTAACTCATTTTCATGTTTTGACATCAGAAAAATAATGAGAATGACTCAGTTATATCCTGACGACTTTGATAATTTGGTTTGGGTGCTCTTGAGAATCAGCTTGCAAGTTATATTATTGATGTTCATGATGATGATGAAAGATTCTCCGACCGACATGTGCTTTGTGATCTTTCAAAAAGATTAGTTCAGACAAAGAAGCATTCAAATTATCCTCATGTATTTCGCTTAGTGAAACTTGCTTTGCTTCTACCAGTTGCTACTGCATCTGTTGAATGAGCTTTTTTAGCAATGAATTTTATCAAGAATGACTAACGAAGTCGAATGAATGATGAATTCTTTAGCGGTTGTTTGGTGCCTTATGTAGAAAAAAAATATGTTTGATAGTATTTCTGTAACGGCCTTGTCACTACCCAAAATTCATTAAAGGTCACAATGGCGTCGGACACCGCTGTCAGGCAAGCCAACAATAAATACTTAGTTTACTTCACATTTTAGCAATTTGAAATCGTGATTTTCTTTATCCATTAAATAGTAAATGATGAAGGTTACAGAGTAAATAACAATGTGTTTCGCTATTTCAATACTAAATAATCCATAATCCCCAGAACTCTGTGGCACAAGTGCATGAGCATCAACTAGGAAAAATAAAAAAATACATCATCCGTCCGAAATACAACATTTGGACAAGAAACAAAATATATAAATACTCTGAAGGAGACTGTGCTGGCTGCAGATTGTAACATAAGATGCAGCTCGCCTAAGTCCCCGCATCAATCACGCTGCTGCGCCCACGAGGCCACTATATGTGTACGTGCCTGTACAACAAAATGTACAGCAAGTGTAGTATGAGTACGAAAACAACGCGTACCTAGTATGCATCCAGTCTAACATCGAAGAAGTAGTTGTGAGCATTGCCCGATAAAAAATACTCATACAAAACTCACAAAAAATAAATTTGTTTTAATTATTTTAAGTTTTATAGAATTTTCAGGATTTTTTTTAATTGTTGTTTGCATTTACTTGCAAATTTAATATTTTTAAATTATAAGAAAATACCACAAAAACGTCAAAAAATTTCATGTATTGCATTTTAGGTTTTTATTTGCATTTTTAGGATTAAGTAGTTAATTAATTGCATTATTAAACAAAAATCACAAAAATGATGTTCATTTTTACATTTTTAGTTTTTAGTGTTAAATTGATAATTTTCTTTCATTTAAGTTAATTAATTATTCTAATGTTAGAAACAGATAATTACTCTAATTCTACATATTAGATTTGATTTAGGATTTGGTTTAGGTTTTAATTAATTTTATAGGATTTTAAATCAAGGAAAATAGAAGAAGAAAAGAAAATGGCCATTTTCTAAGTCAAAAACTGTAACGACCGACCGGTCAATTTGAGCATTTGCACTTAGCTCGATAATTTGGGGGCACGAGTAGATCCGTATGATGTATTAGGAATTTTGTGCAAAATTTAATTTCATTCCGGATTGATTTGATATGTATTGGCACGAGTTTTGGAAATTGAAAGTTCAAAGTTCACTTAAGTTTGATTTGAGGTGCGATTCGTCATTTCAGTATTGTTATATGTGATTTGAGGCCTCGAGTAGGTCTGTGTTATGTTATGAAACTTGTTGGTATGTTCGTAACGGGTCCCGAGGGGCTCGGGTGAGTTTCGGATAGGTTTGGGTTGTGTTGCGCTTATTTTTCTTATGTTTCGACGCCGTTTCTTCAGGCATAAATGGTACCACATTGAACAAATGAGCTGTGATTTCTGTTTTGATTGAATCTTAGATCTGTATTATAATTACGGAGCCATAGCAAATGGAATCGTCGAATTTTGACATCGTATGCCGATGTTTTAGTCATTTTACTAAGAATTGGGTTGCCAGATTTTTCCAAAATAATTACGAAATTGCCACTGACTTCGTATTTAAAAATCTGCACTATTATCAAATATTGAAACCAACATATCTCCTTCAATATAAGGTCAAATGGAGTGATTCAAGAGCCTAACATGACTAGATTTTACAAGGAATCCATTAGAGGCATCAAAAGCGAGTGTCAAGATCATTTGGAACAAGAAACGAGGAAGAATAGCTGGCAGAAAAATATATAAAATAAGGGTTTGTTCAATTTGTCATATTTTGAGTTGGGGAGCTCGGATTTGGGCGATTTTGGAGGCGATTTCTACCATATGATTTGGGATAAGTGTTCTTTACTCGGTTTTGGTTATATTTCATGAATCCATCTTCATTTTTTGGGATTTGATTGACGATTTCAAAGTAAAATTCGGGGGGGTTTTGCTTAAAGTGAATTTTTATGTTTTGAACATCGATTTGGAGTCGGAATTGAGTGAAACTAGTATGGTTGGACTCGTAATTGAATGGGTTATCGGATTTTATGAGTTTTGTCGAGTTCCGAGGTGCGGGTCCGGTTGTGATTTTTGGCCGGATTTGGGATTTGATGTAGAATTCGATCTTTATCATTTGAGATTGCTTCCTTGGACTTTATCTGATGTATTTGAGTTGATTTTGTCTAGTTTTGAGCCGTTCGTAGGTCGTTACGCACGTGATGGCATTATTGAAGCATCACTTGGCTTGCTCGGTGTCAGAATTGGCTTGTTTAAGATAAGTAACTCTTTTAAACATAGTGCCGAGGGTATGAAACCCCGAATTTTGTGCTATGTGATTGGTGTGATAGGCGTGTGGGCGTGCACCCTGTGAGTTGTGACTTTGTTGTTTCCAGGGCATTGAATAGTGGCCCTATTTTACTGATATCTGTATTGTTACCATGTGATAAAATAAATGAGCTGTACATCATGCTAGATATCATGTGTAAGCTGTATGCGGATAATGTTAGGACCCATAGTGGTCATTTCTTGCTGTCATCTCATTGAATTCATTGATATTTCATACTCAGTCACATTCATGCATTCATATCATATCTCAGTCTCAATTGTTACTTATTGATACATCATATCATTATTTCTGGTCAGTTTTCATAACATTGTGAGCCCGTGGGTGAGATTGGAGAGATTGATGACTGAGTGTGGCCGAGATCCTGATTATGAGAGACAGTTATGGGATCGGGCTGCACGCCGCAGCATATTTTATTGAGTATTGAGTGAGGCCGAGGGCCTAATTAGTTTATACCACGATTGGATTGTTATAGCGCTTGGGCTAAAGGAGCCCTTTCGGAGTCTGCACACCCCCAGTGAGCGCAGTAATTATATTCAAGGATGGATCTTCCCTTGATATGAAGATGGATCTTCTCCATGAGGCTGGATTGGCCTGTTTCCTCGGTACTGGGTGACTTATAGTCAGTGATGTATATATTCCGGGATGGATCTTCCTGGGGCCGTATGGGCCATATACAGTACCGAGTGGTTTATTTTGATGAGTGAAAGGTGTGATACAGTGAGGTTGATTACTCTGAGAGTGTGCGTACACGATTCATCTCAGAGGTACATGATATTGGCAAGCATATATGACATACATGCATAGAGACACATTTTCCTCATGTTGTACGGTATCACGTCATTCATGACATTTTTTCACACATTGATATGTGGTCATAGAGAGGTATCTCCCACTTGCTATGTGGAAAGAAAATGAAACATCTTATTTATTATGAAAAGGAGTTTTGGAAAAGAAAATACAGTTTTCAAACTATCTCATATTTCACGACGTTTTCGGTAAAGAATTTGGGTTTTCACTGATACTCTTGAAAGGCAGAACTATTTTTGGGAAAACTGTGAAGAAGCTGAACACTTTATGTCTGAGTTACTTCCTTATTTATATGCTTTACATTGTTATGAACTGTTACTAGATATTGGTGTTGGATCCGACCTATGTTCCAGCTCGTCACTACATTCACCTAAGTTTAGGCTTGTTACTTTTTGAGTACATGGGGTCGGTTGTACTCATACTGCACTCCTGCACAGTGTGTGCAGACCCGAATACCGATGTTGCTGCGTTCGATGGTTACTGAATTTGAAGGCGTACCTGCGTTCCTGCTGTAGTTGCCTCTTGTTCACGGTAACCTTAGATTATAAAACTCTATCTATGTACTGTTCAAACAGAAGATGTATTCTTTTCATGTCATCTTGGTAAGCTCTATTCTGAGAAGCTCATGATTTGTACTACCAGTCCTTGAGAAATGTAATAGATCCAGATAATTCATTTTATTTAATTGACTTATTAGAAATATTGAAATTGGATAGTTATTAGTTGGCTTACCTAGCGGGTGGGGTTAGGTGCCATCACGACTAGTGGATTTTGGGTCGTGACAAAAACTAGATTGGGCTCAATTTTAAACGGCCCAGTCATCTCCCCTAACCCATCTCCAAGCTAGACCAGACCCTTAAAAATCTGGTCCACCTTCCCCAATAACCCAAACGACGTCGTTTCACCTTGCTAAATCTCAGCCGTTGATCTAATGTGATCCAACGACTCTTATCTAAATCCCCCTCCCCTTTATTATTATCTGAATTAGGAACCCGAAACCCTAGAGACACCCCAAAAAACCATCTCCATCACTTCTCTCACATCTAACTGTCTGCCGTTGCCGGAAATCGCCTACGGCGGCGGCGCCACCCCAAACTCTCCCAAAATCACACCCTACACTCCTCTCCTCGTCCTCAACCCAAACCTACCACCAATTTCTCAAAAATGCCCACTAATCTTCTCCAATTTCAGATCTAAAAAACGACAGAAAAGCTAATCCTTCTCTCTTCTGACTTCTTGGGTGATACCAACTCGATTTGGTCTAGAACTTACGTTAATCGATTGCTCTTGGCAAGAGCAATCGATTGACGTTAATTTTAGTTCATTTAGAAGCCACCGGATTTTGGCTAATTCACCGCTGACCGGCCAAGCTTCGTCGCCATCATCGTTCGTTTATTCACCTCATTTGTCCACTCATTTCCGGCCAAAATCAGTATACTAGAATGGTAATGACAATTATATGTGTCTGGACTTGGCTTTTTTGAATTGCCTCACTTTGCTTTTGGGCCCTATGTTAAATTGGTCCATTTTTGCAAGCTTGCTGTAAATCCCATGCATTAGATCTCAATTGTTGAGATTCTAAAGATATCATGTGAAGAATAGGTCTTATTTGGCCAATCATATTGTGGCACGGGTCTCAAAAAGCCATAAAACATTACACCACACAGTATTTGTAATCTGTTTATGGTCCAATCTTACCTAGGAAGATAGTATCTAATGGATTGAGATATTTACATTCAAATAAGGATTTACATGTCCACTCAAA